TAAATATCTTTTCTCTACGGAACTGTGTGCATTCTCTGACTGCATCATCAGTGTCCTAGCACAGAATTTGTTACTAGCTGCAGACTCAACATCCTGACAAACTTTGCTTTTTCTTTTTACAAATCAGGCATCTACACATTTCTTTCCTGCAAAATCCACATGAATCCTCTATTGCAAAATAACCTTTACCAAGTATATTCCACCATTGATATGGCTCTCAGAACTCCAGCAGGGCAGTGGAGTGCTTTTCCCATGCAGCGCATTGTAGGTGGCTGTGCAGGCTATTAGAACCCTGGATGTGTTGGCTGACAGAGGCGCAGGAGCTAGAAAGCAAAGCATTAATAGCCTGTTTGACTGTCTTGGCGTGGGAGGGCTGTTTTATTTTCACTTGGATCCTTCCTTCCTGCATTTTCACAATTTGTATGACTTGGTCTCTGTCTTCTATAGGATGTACAATGGAAAACAGCAGCTAGTTTTGTTCAAGGGCCGATTGGAGACGAAAGGGAAGGGTGGTGGCTTAATCTTGCAAATGCCTGCCACTTGCAGATTGCTTCCTAGTGAGTTCTGCTGTGACAAGGCCCTGAATCTTTCACCTTGAGGCTGGCAACATGGGCATTGGCTACTGCATAAATTAAGTTTGCTCTGGAGCCATCCTTCCTGAGCTAAGACAAAAATGTGTGAGCCGGAGGCTAAAAAACTGTCAGCTAGCTCACACTAACTCAGCTTAGGGGAACACTGGCCATGGCCCCAGAACATGTAATTTGTAACTTCTAATTATTTCTAATGTGTGAGCTAGTGAAAAGAATGAAACCCATAAGCAGACCCGTTATTACTTTGTCATCTTCCACAAAGGGCAATGCAAAGCCCTTTGGCGGGGAGGCTTATAAAATAACAACTGCCTGAGCCCTTCCCCCCCACCACAAACCATAGGAATGATTACTAAGCAAAACGTTGAAGAAAAATGTCAGAACCCATTTTTTTTGTTTGCTACTTTCACTCAGCATTTAGTCACTTTGCGTCTGTTATAAGGGAAGCTTACCATCCTTGTTTTCTAGCAGTGGCCCTTACTAGATATGAAGTAATTTTATAGCATTGGCTGTCAAGTGTACGGATAGAGGCACTTTGCCTCTGTACTGGCTGGCTGTTTCTCTCTCTCTCTGCCTCCCCCCCGCCCCCCGCGATGCCCTGCAGTCTGAGATTTACAGGGAAAAGAGATTTCCAGCCCTTTGACTACAGTGCCCCGGAGTGTGGTTCCTTAATGCAATTGAATGGCAAGGACTTAATTGGCAGAACTGTGGCCTGTTTTCATTCAAGATCCTATCGACGCTTGTTGCTCTGATACTCTGCATTCGACTCTCCATTTGTGCTGGACACTCTCCCATAAAAAAAAAGCAGGGCAACACAACCTGAAATAACAGCTAGGAGATCCTGAATTTGCATTAAGGCTACACTAAGGTTTTAAGGATCATTCTGGGATTTTCACTAGCTGCCCTCTAGGGTTAGGATGTGCATAGAACCATAATGTGTGGGGGGTGGATACTTCAAACCATACTAGCCCAACAACGTTTGACTCTGGCAAGTTCTCTGAGTGCAATACCCATAAGACAGGATATGGATTGGTTGTGGAAGGTATACAGGAAGAGAGCGCAGCTTCTTAAGATTGTGATATTTAAGTCATTATATCTATAATGCATTTTAAAGTATGCAAAGGTGGTTTCTACGCAGGGATGGACTTATGTGGTTTCTCTGTTGCTGGTGTGCCTGCTGATAAAGCTCAGTGGCTTCCATATGGCAGGTCTCCCTGCAGTTTCCCAGCCCCAGTCCCCCGGCAGCAGCCATCCCCCCTCCTCTGGGCCACTGGGGCTTTTTTTCAATTTGTTTTAAAATTAGCAATTAAATATAGGCATATTGATATAACATCATAACTATAGGTGAAGGCGATGAAATCAGAGAACCTTAAATACATATTATAACATTATATCAATACAATGATATTTAATTGCCACTTTCTAAAAAAAGGGGGGCCCTTGGTGGTGGGGAGAAGAAATGGTCGCAGCAGGAACAGGGTTAGGGGGAATGGCTGCCATGTGGGCAGGTAAATTTAACACATGCAGAGCAGCCATCAAGACTTTATGATCTTTCATGAAAGTGCACAGCAAAATAGATTTGGGAAAGATCAGGAGGACAGCTGGGGAAACCCACGAGGTGCATAAATATCCCACTGTGCTGTGGGGAAGCGGGAAAGAAAACCTACTTCTCAACAACATTAAATCCTGGGCAGATAACCTGTGTGGAAATGTCCTTGTGACAGAGCCAGGATGAGTGAAGTTTTGTAGCTAGTTACTACAAAGTTATTCCCTGGACGTTAAGAAGCTATGGGTAGAAATTTTAAGAGTGGAAGAGGGAGGCAGTGCTAAGGGTGCAGTGGCAGCCATTTTAAATGCAAAACACCAAAAACCTAAATGCCAACCATTAGTATGTTTAGAGGTATTTAGCTTGATTACAGTGCAATCCTGAGCAGAGTTGCACCCATTTAAACCCATTTACCTCAATGGACTTAGAAAGATATAGGTCTGTTTAGCATTGCTTTGGTATTAACATTAATTTCGTATCAATTTCTTAAAGTACTCAGTGCCCACCAATTAGTTATCAAGCCAGGAAATTCTATACCCAATCTGCCAACCAGGAAATTAATGCAGCCATGGCTGACTGAACCAAAAATGATTGCTCTTAAGTGCAGAAGTACATGTTACAATGGGCCTGCTGCCAATGACAGCAGCCCCCTGTCAAGATCTCCCTTCCCCCCTCTGTAATGTTCAATTCAAATAACGCCATGTCCTGACACAGTGTGTATTTCCTCGATCCACAGGGGGCAGGAAAATGCACATTCTTGATGATGCCCAGACATCAGTTAAGTTGAAATGCATATTACCAGGCCTGCAAGGAAAAAATCAGTACAGAGCTGCCCCTTAACTTACACAACTGTACTTCTGCTTTTATTAACAAGGTGCAGAAGTAGCAGGAATCTGTCCCTTTTCTTCCACTGGTGGCTGGTTCAGATGACTTTGAAAGGGGGTCATATAACCCCCACCCCCTGGGGTGGGGGAAGACTGGTGTAGCAGAGGATTAGACTGCTAAGTAGAACCTCCATATTTAGAGGCAGGGTAACATTGAATGGCTGGGGAAATAATAATGAAGAAGACTTCCAGTCATGTTTGTGGACTTCCCAGAAGCATTGGACTGGCAACGATTGGAGACAGGAGCTGGGATTCAGTGACCCCCGTGGTGTGATCCAGCAAGGATGGTTCTTAATATGTGCGCCCACTCAAGGCAGTAAGACTGAATGGTGGGGCAGGTTGCCCACGAAGGTTCTAGCTTTTCATTCATGGTCAGTTAACGATGTTTTCATCGTTGGAAATGTACAGAAATGGATCTTTACAGGGCATTTTCTTTAAGGCATGGTGTGGCTGGAAATGCTTTCTTTCCCACCAACCCAAGCTCTCCAGGGGGATCTTCATGTTGTCTGTTTCCATTTCGAAGACTTCGGGTCCTTTCCAAAACAACAACAACAAAAAAACAGACTGGAAGAAGAGAACCGTTGTCTTCTTCGAGTCGGGTCTGTCTGTTTCATCGCTAAGGGTTTGAACGTTTTTGACTGCAGAATGACGACCGGGGCACCGGTGCTTGGCTGGTGTGCAGAGCTGTTATGGTTTCACCCTTGTGGGTGTTTGGGCGGGGCGGGAGGGGTCATGAAGGTACTTCTAGGTCATACCTTGACCTGCGGCATCGCCCATTTGGTGCTTCCCGACCTGGCCAGTCTCCGAAGACAGGACTTTCTTTCTGTTCACAGGCTCCGTCTCATTTTTAGTGCGTTATTTCAAGGTGCGATTCACACCTCAGCAGCTCACACAGACGGAAAGCCCTCTGCAAAAACCCACCATCGCATTAACCTCGTGGGCATTCATTGATCACGGCTTCCCAGAAATCTTTTTTTAAAAAAACCCGACAAGCCCACACTCCCAGAGTAAAGCTTCTTTCCTCGCAAGGGTTAACTCCTGCTGCCGTTTTCAAAGCACCTGTTTCTGTAGATTGCAGAAGACCTACCAGGCAAGGTTGGATCAATATTTGTATTTCCTTGTAAGGACCCTACCCACATTTCATTTAATAAGGATGGATGGATATTCCATTAGTGTAAGTGAACGCTGCACGGAAGGAAGGGGGGGGGCACACCATAAGCTGCAAACTGGGATTCGCGATCCCAGACCAAGTTGTTGGGGGGGGGGGGCTTGCTTTATTTGGGGGGGGAGGCTGGGAGGGGTTTTATGGGTTTT